AATATTAATCAAAATATGCCTACAAACGTCATACCAAATGTCCCATTAAATAGTGTTTCAAATATTAATCCAAACCCTGGTATACAAAATGCGCCAGGTTTCCAAAATCATCATGTTAATAACCAAACTCCTCCAAATGCTGGTGGACGAAATGCACCAGGTTTCCAAAACCCACATATTAATCTCCCAACTCCTCCAAATTCTGGTGGACAAAATACACCAGGTTTCCAACGCCAACATGTTAATAATCAAAGTCCTACTACGACACCAAATTCCGGTGTGCAAACGCCACAGTCTTTAAGTTTAAATTCTGGTAGTAAACAGCTTTCCTCTCCCGATGGTAATAGTGCCGCTTTTACTACCGTTATTGAGGTAAGTTCTTAAATTATTCCTTATTTATCTCAGATCTTTTTATAATATATATTTAATAATTGGTTTTTCTTTAGTGTCCGCAAATACCGCAATGTAATGATGTTAAAACAAGATATAAAAAAGAATATGGAACCGTTCTAGGTTATGAGGATACTAAGGAATGTCACGCCGGCTATCATGCAGGATTTGGTGACGTTGAAGGATTGCGTCATCATTTCACCCATGGTGCAAAAGTTAACGGAACCTCACGTTTCTTAAATACAAGGGAACATCTTGTAATAATCGCCGCAAGATATTGCAGTAGAAGTAAATTGGTCGAAATATTTAAAGTTTTAAAAGAACATAACGCGAATTTCAAATGTACTTCAAATATCAATGGAAAAACAGCATTACATCATTTATATGAAAACCCATCTTTAACCAGAGATCTCAGTGATTCTAAAGGATTACAAAAGTTTCATAAGCATATGAAAGAAGCAATAGAGTTTTTAGTAGCCAATGGATGTAATATTAATGCTATGGACAATAGTCGACAAACAATATTATCATATTATTTATGTGATAAATTTAGACACAGAGAGTTCGCACCAATTGTTTTAATGTTACTAAAAAATGGGGCAGACCCAACTGTTCCGTTAAAAACTACGGTACTACAGCCATATAATGCACCCAATGCATTGTATTTAGCTGTAAAAATTGGTTGGCCAATTGAGGTTCTTGATGCGTTATTAAGTAAGGGAGCAAGAGGTGATGTGAAAGATGAAAATGGTGATAATCTATTAGTATTAGCTGCTAGAGAAAAACAATCTGCTACAGTTGATTGGGTATTAGAGACAATTCCTGAAGCTAGTACTAGAGATTGTATAGAAGCTGCTATGAAACTCTCAGATAGAAAAGAAAGAAGTAAACTTTCTAAATGGAAAGGGTCTGAAGGAGCAAGTAGACGACGGCTAGTCCAAGCAAATTATATACCCGGGTTTGGATTAATATTTGAAACACTATTTAATGGGACATTTGGTATGACGTTTGTAGGCATATTTTGATTAATATT